ATTAGCCAAGTGAGCCACAGCGCCGGCCTCAGGAAAAAGTTTTGTTCTGTTTTAAATCACTGTGACAAATTTCAAATTATCAATCACACTACACAGGACACATGGCTGGGTCATTAACTTTTCCTCCAATTACATTCTTTCAGAGTAAAAGTATAGAAATAAATTCTGGAAAAAAATTTTAATTGTCCTTATGTTTTACTTATTAAAGCCTTCAGTCAACTGTTAGTTTCTGGCACAACACAGACCTCAGGTATTTGCTCAAATGTAGAAAAGGAGTCACAATATCTTAGTATGCTGAGAAAAATCCTTAAACAAATCCAACTGTAAAATATAGATGAACTTTAATTGCTGAGAATCATCCAGGATAATTTTTAACGGGTGGAAAAACTCCACAAAAAATGGATATAAATCCTTAAGACCTTATTTGATAGTTCTTTCCAATACTATTATGATGAACAAAAATTACAATGCTAGATAATATTAGTTAAATCTGTCATTTTAAACAATAAAAATTGAAATTTGTTGCTTTAAAATGAATTTGTTGTTTTCTAATGAAAAAATATTTAAAAATAGCATTTGTTTTTAGATAGCCTTCATGCCTTAGACTTGACTTATAACTCCCTCCTGCTACAATGAATCACAAAATCAAACCAATTTCACATATTAGATGTTTTCAAGTGTAGTTAAAAAGTCAATTTTCCAAGCGTTCTTACCTATTATTTTCATAGCATCTAATGTCTAAGGACTCCAAATATTGGTAGTACTATGGAGGTCAATCTTTCCTATATCTATTTTTATTTCTAAACATTTCCTATATCTATTTTTATTTATTGTTCTTTCTTCAACAACATTGTTATTAAATGAGTTCCAAAAATAAAGATAGGTTAATATCATAATAGTTCTTCTAAGGTAACTTACATGAAACTTTCAATTTCTAAAAAGAAAACACTTATCTATTCAGTAGGGAAGAAAACAATCCTGTTTATTAACCTCACTGCATATTCAGAAAGGATTAAAAAATACACACATTTCCTGGGACACAAAACTGTACCAAAGTATTTCCTTACAAAATAACTTCACAGACCAACAGTCTTGGACTTACACAAAAACATATATACTGACACACATTAGCTTGAATACACAATTCAAATATTTTTGCAGCAACTGTCTACCAGATTCTTATTGCATTAATAGAGAGTATGTTTCTTTAATCTCTTAAAAATAGTAATAAAAAATTACAAAATAATGTAAATGTAGAATTAAGGCTGAGACTATATAATCTAGTATTAATAAAGTCAGACAATACTTATAAAAATTGTTGCTGCTGCATATTTTATATATATATATATATACACACACACAGGATATGTCTTCAGAAATTTGAAATGCTACCTTTTACAAGTTCACTCATCAATTTAATGTTTTTCTATGTATCTCAATATTTGAATTCCCAGATACCTGTGCTTTTTCTATTTTTATCCTGAATTCTTCATTGAGTTTCCTCACATATTTACAATTAAATATCTAGCCTCTAGAAGCTTCCTTACACAAAAGACAAAACATCTTGTTAAATACATTCACACAAAAGTAATAAAAAGGTTGTTTTCATGAAATAGTTCTAACATACTCATAATTATACTGAAAAAACAGTACATATATTTTTTCAGGATTAATAAATGCTATGTGCCATTTTATAGTCATTGCCATATTAGCATATGTTCCTTTGACACATTTTCAAGACAATGATGACCAAAGTGTATGAAGACTGAAATAATCCGGTAAATTCATATTGTCCAGTGAGATTCATAAAATTGAATGGCTGCTTCCAGTCTCATCCAGATATACATGGAAATTCATGCAAATACTGGTATTGTCCCCAGAAATATTCAGTCTCCTAAGTCACCTCTTGGTCTTCTGAAACAGAGATGCAGAAAGCAGGGAATTCTTAGTGAGACCAATGGCCCCCTCTCTGTCACCTTTCACACATCTGTTTTGGTTATAATCCTGGTCAAGGTGGAAAAAGAAATCATTATAAGTTTTATGTACCAAAGGTTTTCTTGCACTCCCATCATTTTAGATGCTTAAATATCCAATGGGGCTATGCAAACAGATTTAATTAAGTCCTTATGTAAAATAATTTCCTTCACATGTGTGCCAAAGAAAGCCTGAAAATAAAAGTGGAGAGAGAGAGAGAGAGGGAGGGAGGGAGGGAGGGAGGGAGAGGGAGAGGGAGAGGGAGAGGGAGAGAGAGAGAGAGAGAGAGAGAGAGAGAATGAATGAATGAATGAATCAGGGAGTCTAATTTATTTGAAAGGTAAAGTAACAGAAAAAGTGGGAGCAACAGAAACAGATCTTTTATCAGCTGGTTCACTCCCCAAATGGCTGCAACAACTGAGGTTGGGCCAGGCCTAAGCCAGGAGCTTGGAACTCCACCTGGGCCTCCCATGGGGGTGGCAGGTGGGAGTACCTGAGCCATCATCCACTGCCTTCCCAGACATAAATTAATAGGCAGCTGGATCTGCAGGCAGCAGCTTAGTTCACTGTCTCACCACACTGGTCCCAGTGATTGGGATTTTGTGGACAACATGCCATGCCATGTATAAAGATTAAAACTGCTGCACCACAATGCGGGGCCCCACAAATAAACATTTTTAACTTCATTTTTTTCATTTAATTCCTCCCACCCCCCCATATTTATTTTATTTATTTGAAAGGTAGAGTGACAGATTGAGAGGGAAGGACAGAGAAAGACTGATTTTCCATCTGTTGGTTGATTTCTGCACTGGCCACAATGGCCGGGGGCTGGTCCAGGATGAAGCCGGGAGCCCCGAACTCCATTTGGGTCTCCTGAAGCAGAGCAGCCAGTATTGGAACCAGAGCTCTGATATGGGTACCAGTGTTGCAGGTGGCGGCTTAACCTGCTGAGTCACAACACTGGCCCCCTTTTCAATGAACTGGATGAAATGCCCTCTGATATACACATATATATGTATATAATATATAATTTATATAAGTATTTTGTATCATAGTTCTTTGAGTGGGATTATCTCAGACCCAAATTTTGCAATTTTCACTTACCTCTCCTCTTAACTTAAATGACCAATTTAAGAATTAACAAGAATTACAATTCTTCTTACATAAATCACAAAATAAAGAAAAGCAAAAGGAAAAGCATTTAAAAATATCCATAATCTCATCTGTGTAGATGAACACAGCCACACCTTGGTGTATATCCATACAGATACATGTTTTTTCAGATGTATCTAAATATTTTTAAATATTCTGATTATTTTGAGTTATACTTGTTTAAGATTTAGGTACAACAGGCAGATTGGGGATGAGAAAAACTTTAATTAAGCAATGATTTTAACAAATTCCCCAAAGATAAGCAGGATATAAAAGGAAGGACGCCATTAGTGGGAATATCTCCAAGTTTTAATGGAGAACTTCTAAAACTGACACCACAAAGCTAAAAAAGAAAAAAAAAAGAGCAGGGTTAGTGAACCTTGCAGGCTTTGCTTTAAATGACTGGAGATCGAAGTATCAGGCTGCTAGCTCCTGTAGGCCAGCATCAGATAGGGCTTTACGGTGCTCACAACTACACTAAAAGCCAACAACTATACCAACATTTCATAATGAATTACCGACACTCTCCAATTTTCTGGTGGCAACTTTTCATACCTGGGAATAGGAACAAAGCTTTCAAAGTTTGGTTGAAAACTTGTTATTACGGGTTGTGGCTTCCTTTCCTTTTTGATTCTGCTCTTATCCTTCTATTTCTCATTCTATGTTGGACTTTCATTTTTTTTGTTCTACTTACTCATTCCGAGTGCTAAGTCTGTCTGGGGTTCCATGGGCAGACTACTCCCATTGTGTGCAGGTGTGGGGAACTTATTTCTGCCAAGGGTCACTTGGACATTCACAACATCACTCAAGGGCTATACAAAATTATCAACTTAAAGACTAGCCTGCTACAGATTTACTGAATATGGAGTCTTGTCTGTGGTTGCTTTGACATGCCCAGGCCAAATGATTTTTGTGGGCCTTTTATGGCTGTGGGCTGGACATTCCATACCCTGGAACTTTATAGAATATTGACCATTTCCTCCTCCTCTTCTATTATATTCTAAACTTTCACCCATTTTACTATCACCGGGAAACTTCAATCAAATATGAAGACAGAATGAAGGTATTTTCAGACATGAAGGGACTCCAATTTTTTCTACACACTTTCTCCTAAGGAAGCTTTAAAAGACAGGAAACACATGCAATCCACAAAATGGTGACTTCAACACAAGAGAATAGACACGGTGGGTCCAAGAGGGCAGACTCACAGGAGGCCCATACATTAGGATCAGTGGGTCAAGTCACAGCTCCTCCGCTTCTCATCCAGCTTCTTGCTACTGTGTCTGGGAAAGCATAAGGGGATGGCCCAAGTACTTGGACCCTGCTACCCATGTGGGAGGCCAGGGTGGAGTTCCTGGCTCCTGGCTGGCTTCAGCTTAGCCCAGACCTGGAAGTTACAGCCAATGGGAGGATCAAACCAGAGGATGGAAGATCTGTTTCTCTGTCACTCTGCCTTTTAAATAAGTAAGTAAACCCTTAAAATCAAAATCCCATGTATTTAAATCATTATAATATTCTTTCTGATGCTAAATTTCCCCTCTACTTTCAACATCTCTCCTTCTAATGAGAACTGCAGTCTTCTCTCATTCTTATTTTAGTAGCTTTTTCCCTAATTTACTTTAATGGAAACTTATTTTAAGAAACATCTTATCCTCTACAAGCACACAATTTTAAGTATAAGAGATATCAGTAAACTTAAAACATAATTTTAAGTTACAACATAACAGAGAGGAGATTGTTGCACAACATGGCCTCCTAGTTTTTTCAACTACACCTTGTTCCCCTCTCTTTTGCCCACCGTGCTCAAATGACTAGAATATTTTCAGTTTCTCAAACATGTTATGCTTGTTACTTTCTCATATTTCTCATGCCTACCACTTTTTTTTTTTTTTAAGATTTATTTATTTATCTGAAAGGCAGAATCACAGAAAGGCAGAGGCAAAGAGATAGAGGTCTTACATCCACTGGTTCACTACCCAAATAGCCTCAATGGCCAGAGCTGGGCTGATCTGAAGCCAGGAGCTTCTTCTGAAGTCTCCCATGTGGGTGCAGGGACCCAAGGACTGGGTCATCTTCTACTGCTTTCCCAGGCCATAGCAGAGAGCTGGATCATAAGTGGAGCAGCCAGGACTCAAATCAGCGCCCATGTGGGATGCTGGTACTGCAGACAGCGGCTTTAGCCGCTCCGCCACAGTACCAGCCCTTTACCTCTCTTTTTGACTGACATCAATCCATACTATGGCTGACTCCTTCAGGGCTTTTCCTGATAAGTGACATTGTTTTCCCACTATTTTCTGAGACTTCAGTTTTTTCTTGCCTCACTTTCAAAATCACCCCTTTCTTGTACAGCATTATAGAACTCCATGTGGGCAAGAAACTTTTTATTTGAAAGGCAGAATGACAGAGAAAGGGAGAAATAAAGAAAGAGCTCTTCCATCCTCTCATTCAGGCCAAAGCCTAGAGCTAGGAACTCCTTCCTGGTCTTCTACAATGGTGGTAGTGGCCGAGATACATGTGCCATCTGTCATTGCATTCCCAGGTGCACTAGCAAAGAGCTGGATGGGAAGCAGAATAGCCACCAGGACTCTAACTGGTGCTTCGATATGGGATGCCACTTCACAAGTGGTGGTTTAACCCACTGTGCCATGCTAGTTCCCCCATATCACTTTCATTCATGCAGCAACACAAAGCATAAAATGAGCATTCAAATCCATACATCCAACAGATACTTGAAAAGTTAACAGAAAATATACATTATAAAAAATAATTCATAGGTTTCAAAAAATTCATTGCACCAAAACACAAACTAATCTTTTAATTTCACTTTCCATGTGCTTTTTAAGGAACTCTAGAATTTACGGAATGAATGCAGACAGGGCAGTTTTCACGGAATAAATGCAAACACCACCCTCTAATGGGAACTCGTTTATGGGAAACGTCAGGTACTGTCTATAACAAATCCTTTTGAAATGATGTACAAAAATCCCCCAGTACCATGGTATCCTGTGAGACACTAATTATTATCTAATATAAAAAGACAACTCTTATCATTGTTTAGGCCACAGATGGCTGTGTTCATTTTCTGTACGGTATCTTGACTTTTCCAAACCAAAAATTTAACCAATTTTAAAGTAAGTAACATACAAATGATTTTGCAGTTCTATGCTTATTAAGTCGTTGATTCTATAAAGCAGAATGTAGTATATGTGAAAGTTAAGCCAAGCAACAGAAAAGCACTTTCATTTTTAACAGCTGGTGACTTCTGTGACATAAAAATAAACTGCTAACATTTCTAACTAAGCAAAAATCATTTAGCAAATTGGATATGCTAGGAGAGCGAAATAATTGCCTTAATTTCATTAGTTTCACTTAGGTTCTAAGTTTATAAAAACACTTATTTGAAAGGCAGAGACAGAGAGCTCTTTCATCAACTGGTTCATTCTCCAAATGCCTGCAATAGCCAGGGCTGCACCAAGCTGAAGCTAAGACCCAGGAACCTAAATATCTGAGTAATTATCTGCTGCCTCCTGGATCTATATTAGCAGGAAGTAGAAACTGGAAGGACAGAACGAACTTGAATACAGGAATTCTGATATGGGATGTGGGTGTCTTGACCACTGTGCCAAATAACTACCCCTCTACCATCAGATTTTTTTTTAAGCTTTATCCTAGCCTTATCTTTTACTTACTTATTTATTTATTTATTTGAAAGGCAGAGTTACAGAGAGGCAGAGGCAGAGAGAGAAAGAGAGAGAGAGAGAGATCTTCCATTTGGTGGTTCACTCCCTAGATGGCTGCAACAGCAGGAACTGTGCTGATCCGAAGCCAAGAGCCAGGAGCTTCTTCCGGGTCTTCCTTGTGGGTTCAGGGGTCCAGAGACTTGGGCCATCTTCTACTGCTTTTCCAGGCCATAGAAGAGAGCTGGATTAGAAGTGGAGTAGCTGGGACTTGAACCAGTGCCCATATGGGATGCCAGCACCGTAGGCTGGGGCTTTCACCTGCTGCGCCACAGCACCAGCCCCTACCATTAGTTTTATAAAATATTAATTCTCACAGAAGAGGGAAATTAAAAATAAACTCATTCTCTTTTTTTTTTTTCCGTTGGTTCACCCCACAAGCGGCTGCCGCGGCCTGCGTGTTGTGGCCGGCGCGCCGATCTGAAGCCAGGAGCCAGGTGCTTCCTCCTGGTCTCCCATGTGGGTGCAGGGCCCAAGGACCTGGGCCATCCCCCAGTGCCTTCCTGGGCCACAGCAGAGAGCTGGACTGGAAGAGGGGCAACCGGAACAGAATCCGGTGCCCTAACTGGGACTAGAACCCGGGGTGCTGGTGCCGCAGGTGGAGGATTAGCTTAGTGAGCTGAGGCGCCGGCCAACTCATTCTATTTTTAAAGTATGATGATACAGAGTGGGTGTTTGGTCAAGTGGTCCTTTTTTTTTTTTTTTCAAAGATTTATTTTTATTTATTTGAAAGAGAGGGAGGGATTGTCCATCTGCTGGTTTACTCCCCAAATGGTTGCTGAAGCCACGAGCTTGAAGTTTTTCTCAGTCTCCCATGTGGGTACAGGCGCCCAAGCACTTGGGCCATCATACACTGTTTTCCCAGGCCCATTAGCAGGGAGCACGACTGGAAGCAGAGCAGCCAGGTCTTGAACTAGTGCCCATATGGAATGCCAGCATCACAGGCTGTGCCTTATCCTCCTACGCCACTCCACCAGCTCCTGCCCAATAGTCTTTAAGACACCTATATCCTATATCAGAATAACTGGGTTCAATATCCACTTCTGGATCCTCCCTCTAGCTTAGTGCTAACGCAGAACCTGGGATGCAGTGGTGATTATTTAAGTAATTGGGTTCTTGCCATCCCCCGGGAGACCTGAGTAGTGTTTCCAGTTCCTGGCTTCAGCCTTGGCCCAGTCCTGATCATTGCAGGAATTCAGGTAGTGAACCAGTGGATGGGAGTTCTCTTTTTCCATCTCTTAAATGAATTAAAAAAAAAAAAAAGTTTGATGACCCAAGAGCTTTGATTAAAAAATAATTCTCACGTCATAATGGACTCACCTATTTTGTCTTGTAGCTTCTCTTCTCATTCTTTTAGGAGGAATTGGACAATCTACTACCTCAACCTTTGTTGAATGGCGTAATGAGTCATTACATTTACGTGTGGGAGTCATACCTGTAAAAGATGGAAAATGTAGAAAATTAACTTAAAAAAATTGGATTATGTATTTAAAAGAAAAGCAAATCATACTAAATCATACTTTTTGAAAAAAACAAAAAAAAGATTACTTCTTTTAATGGCAGTGTGACAGAAAGAGAAAGAGAGAAAGAGAGAGAGAGAGAATGACAATCTGGTGGTGCATTTCCTAAATGGCAGGAATAGCTGGGGTTGGGCAAGGCCGAAGCCAGAAGCCTGGAATTCCATCCAGGTCTTCCACATGGATGGTAAGGGTCCAAGTACTTGGGCCATCTTCTGTTACTTTCTCAAACTAGCACTCTGATGTGGGATGACAGCGTATCTCCTCTGTGCCACAATGCAAGCTCCTAAATATATCTTAATTTACAGAAGAAGAATTAATATGGAGAAGGCTTTATTAAAACTTTTAAGATAATTGTCTATAATCGTTATTGGATGAGTTAGAGGTTAACAATTTCTTCTATTAAAGGTCTCGATCATTTACATTTTTTAGTTTTGTAGTTGGACTCTCTGATCATAAATAAATACCTAGTTTTTGCTCTATTATTTTCAGATTTTTCTCTTGTTCATCAAGTTCTTGCTTTTTCTTCTTCATATCAGGAGTGTGAAGGTACTCAAGTTGACCATTAAGGTCTTCATTCACAGTGCCCAGCTTGCACACAGCAGAACGATACTGCTGAAGAAGCTCTGCAAAGAAACCAAAGACATTTGATTAAAACTACTGATAGCATAACAGCCCCATCCTTAAAGAGAAAGAATTAGTGACACTGGGATTGTATTATAGTGACATCTGGAAAATACTTTAAATACCATAAAATATTCAAGGTAAACAAATGAAATACAAGGTTGTTAAATTTTACTTTATTGTTTTAGTTAGCAAATTTATAACTGTATCAGGAAAGAGATTTCCACATAAAAGGGCTCTGTCAATTGGATCAATCTGTCAGTGAATGTGCAATGCATTCAACATTGTAATATTAGAAAGATTATGAAAACTGACAGTAATAGGGGGTTTCTAGTAAAAACAGCTGTAAGTTTAACTGTGATGTTGAGCATCCTATATGTCAAACTTGGTAGTGCTGTAACTTATTAAGTATTTCCATTCTGATAGAGAGAGGAGAAAGAGAAAGAGAACCACTGCTTTCAACAAAGCATTACCTTAAATACAGAATTCTTTCAAAAACACATTTAGTGAAATACTTAACTTTCAAAAAACTTAATTTTCCTTCAATGACTGTCTAAAAATGCTTGTCTGCATAGTTTACTGACACTAAATATTTAATCCTGTGATTATATATTCTAGTCAAAGGATTAGACTACTATACATGGGCCAAGAATGATTTATCTTGTTTTAAATGCTTATATTATATATATTATACATACATATAATTAAATGGTTATAATACATATTAGATAAAACATGAGCTATTATATACTTTAGAGGTTAAGAATCTACACCTAGAAAAAGGAAACCAACACACATGCTATAAGTATATTCACATACTTAAATATAAATTCTGTACACGTAGCTGAGTGATGACAAGGTTCTTAAATTCTTCATTCTTCTATGACTTAACAGAAACTCTAGCAAAAAGGTCTGTAGAAAACAGGTTGGTTTTCTCATGATAGTACTTTAAATTTCACATTCATTTTTCCAAGTACATAATACAATATTTATTTTGTATGTGAATGGGTTACAAAATTATGTCCAAACCAGAACATCAGTGATGTATTCCTTACACAAAATATATAAAAATTTAGGTTACTGGAGTCAGCACTATAGTACAGCGGGTTAAGCAACTGCCTGCAACACTGGCATCTCATATGGGCATTGGTTCAAGTCCCAGCTTCATTTCTGTTCCAGCTCCCTGCTAATGAGAAAGCAGCTGAAGATAGCCCAAGTGCTCGGGTCCTTGCCATCCACGTGGGAGATCCAGAGAGAGTTTCAGGTTCCTGGCTTTGGCCTGGCCCAGCCCTGGCTGTTGCTTTGGGGAGTGAGCAAGCAGATGGAAGATCTTTCTGACTTCCCCTCCAATCCTTTGTAACTCTTTCAAATAAATAAATGCTTTAAAAAACAACAACAACAACAAAAAAAAAAACAACCAGGCCATTAAAGGTAGAAATCTGTTTTACTGTAATAGATACTAAAGATTCTTTTTAAATACCCAAGAAATTGGCATATTCAAAAGCTTTAATATAACATCAGCCTTATTCATATAAATGTTTCTTCTTTAAATGCAGCACATTTTATGCATAAATGGACAGTAGCAGTTTCATAGCCCTTATCAAGGCCCAGTTTTTTTTTTTTTTTTTTTTACATATAAAGAATGAATTCAGGCCGGCGCCGTGGCTCACTAGGCTAATCCTCCGCCTAGCGGCGCCGGCACACCGGGTTCTAGTCCCGGTCGGGGCGCCGGATTCTGTCCCGGTTGCCCCTCTTCCAGGCCAGCTCTCTGCTGTGGCCCGGGAGTGCAGTGGAGGATGGCCCAGGTGCTTGGGCCCTGCACCCCATGGGAGACCAGGAAAAGCACCTGGCTCCTGGCTCCTGCCATCGGATCAGTGCGGTGCGCCGGCCGCAGCGCGCCGGCCGCGCCGGCCATTGGAGGGTGAACCAACGGCAAAGGAAGACCTTTCTCTCTGTCTCTCTCTCTCACTGTCCACTCTGCCTGTCAAAAAAAAAAAAAAAAAAAAAAAAAAAAAAAAAGAATGAATTCATGTCTATAGAATAATCTTTCCTGATTTATCTAACAGAATGTTGTCAGACAGGAAAAACAGGGTGAGTATTTGGTCTGGTGATTAGGCCAATGGTTGGAATACTTGTGTTCCCTGTTTAGAATGCCTGAGTTTGGGACCCTGGCTCCAGTCTCAATTTCAGCTTCCTGCTGATACACACGGAGTTTGGGTCCCTGACATAATGTGGGAGGCCTGGATTGGATTCTCAACTTCTGGCATTGGCCTGGCTGTTTCAGCTGTTGTGGACATTTGTGGATTGAGCACGCAGATGATTGTGCTCTTTGTGTATGTCTCTCAAGTAAAATTAAGAAAATCTTTTAAAAAAGAAGAATTTTAAAATCAAACTTAACTGTTTATAAATCATTTTAGAGCTTGTGTATTGAACATTTTTGAAATTTCAATGATTTGGAAAAAAACTGATGAAAATTTACTGTGATGTAAACAACAACATATTTTAAACAATTAGTTCATATAATGGAAAGAACTTCAAGTTATGATGTATTCATTTCTGTACAACATATATTGAGAAAGACAGATGAGTAGATGACCCCCACGTATGCAGGACAATGAACAATGTAAGCAAAGCTACTCAAAATAACACAAAAGGATTGAAAAGTATGTCTGAAGGGCTGTTGTTAGCTAAGTGCTAAAGAACTCAACTGCCCAAACATGGATTGCTTTAGAAGGCAGAAAAAATTTCCTCACCATTCAGAGTTAAGCAGTTGGAAGGATAAGTACATTTTCCTAAACAGTGATTACGATTCTTTACATTTTGTGCTCCACATGATTCCGAGAACTTTATTGATAGAAAACTCATAAACAACTTTGATTGAAGAAATATTTGAAAAAATATATCAGAATTCCTATCTTGACTTGCTTAAAAAATAATCCAACTAGATGAGAGGAAGATTCAAGTTTTCAGAGGATAAGTACAAATGAAAGAAGACTAGCAGTTATGATAAGTCAGAGGGTGACAAGGCCATGTAAGTCCCTCATACTGCTCATTCCATAATAAAACACTCTTCTCTGAAAGCCACAGTATTTAGTTGGCCACTACTTAGGAAAGTTTTAAGAACGGCTTTATTTAAAAAAAAAAAGAAAAAGAAAAAACGGGCTACAACAATTCAGAGTTTAAAATTAGAATAAATTAAGCACGATATAGCAAACTATAATTAATGGTTAATCTAGCCAGGCATGCAATAGTTTGGGACATATGAACACAGTAAAAATGTTAATAATTTTGATGATGTCATAATTATAGGCCATATATTAATTCTTTTTTTAAAGATTTATTTATTCATTTCAAAGTCAGAGTTACACAGAGAGGAGAGGCAGAGAGAGAGAGAGAGAGAGAGAGAGAGAGAGAGAGAGAGAAGTCTTCCATCCACTGGTTCACTCCCCAGTTGGCGGCGCGGATCTGAAGCCAGGAGCCAGTAGCCAGCAGCTTCTTCCGGGTCTCACACGCAGGTGCAGGGGCCCAAGGACTTGGGCCATCTTCTACTGCTTTCCCAGCCCATAGTAGAGATCTGGATTTGAAGTGGAGCAATTGGTTCTCGAACTAGAGCCCATATGGGATGCTGGTGCTTGAGGCCAGGGCATTAACCCGCTGTGCCACAACGCTGGCCCCCATATATTAATTATATAAGTTAAAATGGTTTTCCTCTCTTCAGTTGGTAGTAACATCTCTCCTTTCTCTCTTCTAGCCACATCTTGGCTTCTACAGTGTCCTTAGTAATTTCCTTTGCATTTCTTCTCTCATTTTTTTAAAAAGTTTTTTTATTTATTTGAAAGTCAGAGTTATAGACAGAGAGATCTTGCATTCACTGGTTCACTTTCCATATGGCTACAATGGCCAGAGCTAAGTTGGGCCAGGATGAGGGCAGAAGCCAGAAGCTTCCTCTAGGTATACCACGTGGGAGAAGGGGCCCAAGCCCTTGGGCCATCTTCTGCTGCTTTCCCAGGCACATTAGCAGAGAGCTAGATTGGAAGTGGAGCAACGGGGACTCCAATTGGAACCCATATGGGATGTTGGTGCTGCAGATGACGGCTTAACCTTCTATGTTACCAGCCCTTCTTTCATTTTAAAAGTATTTCTACTTACAAGATTACTACACAAATCTTACGATACTACTGGAAAGAAGAAAGGTTGGGAAAAAAACCAGTAGGCTAAAGATCTCACTTTTTTTTCTTGGCTTTTCATTTCACAGGGTTGGATGTTTAAATTTTAATGTCTGATATTCCTATTTTCCACTTGCCTTCATGAAAATTAAATGTTACTTTGTCACAGACATTCCCCAGATTGTAAATTCTATTAAAGCAATTAAAATTTATTTTTTTTTCTGAGAGATTTATTTATTTGAAAGGTAGAATTACAGAGAAGGAGGAAGAGACAGTGGGAATCTTCCATTTGCTGGTTCACTCCTGAGATGGCCACAATGGCAGAGGCTCGATCAGGAGCTAGGAGAATCCAAGTCTACCATGTGGGTAGCAGGGGTCCAAACAAATGAGCCAACCCCACTGCTTTTCCCAGGCCACCAGCAGGGAGCTGGATTGGAAGTGGAGCGTTCAGGACTCAAACCAGTGCCCATATGGGATGCCAGGATTGTAGGCGAGGCCTTACCCACCACTCCACAATGCTGACCCTGAAGCAATGAATATTTTTAATGTTTTGCTTCAAAACTCATGTGTGAATTTGAAACTGTTTATTTGGGCATGCTTCCCAGAAGATCAATTATTCAGTCAAAGGACATGAATATTAAAAAAAAAAAAAAAAACTGAGTAAGGGGCCAGTGTTGTGGCACAGTAAGTTAATTAGTGGCCTGCAATGCTGGTATTTTATATAGGAGCGCTGGTTTGATTCCCATCTGTTGTGCTTCCAATCCAGATCCCAACTAATGCACCTGGGAAAAGCGTCAAAGATGGCCCAAGTACTTGGACACCCGCCCCGCTGTGAG